AAGGTCTGGAGGGTGGCCAGAAGGGAAGGAAAGGAATTTGATGAGGTAGCACTGATGGATGATGTTCAGCACCAAACGGACGGAGGTGATTCTGCCCCATTTGCGGGCAAAGAGGGCAAGACGACCCCCAAAGATGACTTGGGGCGAGACTGGAGGGGCCAAGCAGGGTATGCAGGTCTTGAGGGAAGGGTTGTTTCAATGGTCAGTGAAAGGTAGAGGTGGCAGAAGAGAAATGTCAGGGTTGCTGAGAGCGAGGGCGGAGGCGAGGTGAGTCAAGTGTTCACTGGGGGTATTGTTGCTAAGTGGTCCGGGGCAAGGGCGAAGGGGTGGACGTTGTTGTTGACGGGTGGAGGCTGGATTATTGATGTCCAGGGAGTGGACTGTAGCTCAGGAGTCCTTATGGGAGTGAAGGGACTCATCCGTTTTGTCACTGAATAATTTATTATCGAAAGGAAGGTCCTCGAGGGTCGTCTGGACGTCTTTAGGGAAGCCACTAGACTGGAGGACTACGCCGGATACCAAGGAGCAAGATGCAGTGTCTGTGGCGTCAACCCTGCCCTGGAGCATGACCTTGGCTACCCTCATCTATCAGGCATTGGAATTCCTGCTGGCGGTCTAGTGGAAGAGTGTCTTGGAAGTCGGCCAGTTTGGAGTACGACAGAAAGTCGTATTTGGCAAGAATACCCTGGTAGCTGGTGATGTGGAACTGTAACCCTGCTGATGAATAAACCTTGCGACCCTAAAGTCTAATTTCTTGGCAGCGCAATCAGGGGGGTGCATTTGAAATGTTGCTGACGGGCACATTCGGTGGTGGCGTTGACCACCAGGGAGTTAGGCGGTAGGTGGGTAAAAAGAAAGTTGGTGCCCTTCGAGGGAATGAAATACCAGCATTCTGCCCTTTTTGGTGTAGGGGCACAAGATACTGGCGTGTGCCACACCGCCTGGGACTGTTGTAATATGGTAGTATGGATGGGTAAGGCCATACGAGAGGGTCTGGGTGGTTGAAGGGTGTCCAGGAATTGGTCCTCGAAGTCCTGAACACTTTCCACCAGGAGACTGAGAGAGGTAGCCATGCGATGGAGCAGGGACAGGTACTGTGCATGGTCATCTGGTGGTGAGAGGGAAGGTGGAATAAGGGCATCATTCGTTGATGACCAAGCGCCTGTAGGGATGGGTGGTTCCGATGGTGCAGCCGGGGCCAATGGTGCCGACGGAGAGGGAGCATCCAGGGGTTCTTCATGGAGGATGGCGGTATGAACAGAAGATGAACAGCGCAGGTGATGCATACTGCGATGATGGTGGGGTCCCACGAGGAACAGTAAGGCCAGGAGTAGGGGTCACCATGCAGCGGCAGTGTCCGTGGGTACCGGAACCATGGGTCAGCCGTAGGTCCACAGTCCAAGGGTCCAGACTGTAGGAGTGGGCCGGGGAAAGGTCCGTGTCTGGGTCAGAAGACAAGTCAGATGCCAAAGGGTCCGGGAAAGGAGGAGCCATCCTCACTGTCGAGACCGATGGTGCCAGGCATGGAGCAGGAGGACGGTCGACAATCAAGTGGGGCTCGTCTGTCACCAGAACTGGCAGAGAATGATGGAGGACAAGGACTTCGTTGGCCGGAGAAGGGAGCCTGGAACCGGGCAGAGGTCCAGAGTGCGGTGGAGTGCTCGTAAAGGGCAACGTAAGTGCTGTCGACAGTGTCAAAGGCAATAAACGGCCCCAAGTACGCTGAACCAGGTGTGTCAAGCCCGAGGGTCCTGGTGGAGCTGACAGTGCTGAGAATGAAGGTCCCAGTGTCAGGGGTGGAGGGCGGGGCCGACGGTGAGTGATGGCGTTTGGAGCGGTGCTCCTTGCACACTCTCTTCAGGGCCGAAGTAGAAGCTGGACCTTCTGCTGTGATGCATGATTTCTCATCCGACCCATCATAGCTCGGGGAGGTAACACTGCGTTTTGAGGCAGTCCTCGTCAGGGAGCCGCCTTTGTGCCTGTACTTGTGCTTCTTGTGCACGCAGTGGGACTTAGGCAGATGCTACGGTGCTGCCAGTGCCACACGAGGGACCTGATGAGGCGCTCACCGCCAGTGATGGGCGCCGCTCCAGTGGTTGCATCGGAGCCGCGGACGCATTGCCTCCTCCGTTAAAAAATTATGGAGACAAAGTTCATGAGCAGCTCGGGTCTGAGACGGGAATGAGCGGCAGATGGAGCAGCGGGAAACTACGTAGGCTTCACCCAGGCAGTATAGGCAATGGGTGTGTTCATCACTCACAGTGAAAAAGCAAGGGCACGAGGCACAATTTTTGAAGCAGGTTTGACGGGACATAGTCCCCGGGCCAGAAGGGAGGAATCCCCAAGAGGGGAAGTCCAAAGAGAGAACCTAACTAGCTACAATGAATAACAGACAACTAACTAGATAAGAAAACTATATACAATGAAAGGTTAGAACGCAGTACTCTTAGGTGGCTAAGAGCACGGAGGAACAGGGGTTCAGACTCTGGCCATGTGGCGGTAAGAGGAAACTGGAGCGGCGTTGACCTGTGCAGCCTCTTGAGCCTTGGACGCACCAGGTGCCCGATGCATGATGCATGCGCGTGTCAACGGACATTACTATGAACCGTTCCAGCTCCGGCGCATGGCACGCATGTGCACCCGCATTTGGAATCCACACAGGGACCAGCACTCGAAAAACAGTTACCTATCACTTCCATAATTATTGTTTTTTGAGATATAGTGCACATGTCCATTCCATTTTAGGCATCCATGTGTCAGTGCACCAGAGCCAGAGAATTTTTTCCCATAGCGATACCCTTCAGGGCAGCACATGTGCCTTCCACAAGCTCACAGAAACAAGGGATCAGAGAAATGTAGGGTTTCATCTAGATCACATTTTCCTAGGTTCCCTGTGTCAAAAGCCTTACTAAAATCAAGAAATATCACATCTACTGCTTTCCCCCCCTCCATCCACTAGGCAAGAAACCTGTCAAAAAAGGAAATTAGGCTGGTTTGGCATGAGCTGTTCTTGACAAATCCATGCTAGCTATTCCTTACAATCCTAGTATCCTCCAGGTGTTTACAAGTTGTTTAGTCATTTATTTCAGTATCTTCAGGTACTGAAGTTAGGCTGACTGGCCTATAATTCCCTGGGTCTTCTTTGTTCTCCTTTTATAACATAGGTACTATGTTTGCCCTTCTCTAGTTTTCTGGGACCTCACGTGATCTCCAGGAGTTCCTAAAAAAAAATTGCTAATGGTTCCGAGCTTGCTTTAGCTCAGCAGTTCACAACCTGTGGGTCAGGACCCCAAAGTGAGTCATGACCCCATTTTAATGGGTTAGCCAGGGCTCGCTTAGACTTGCTAGGGCCCAGGGCCGAAGCCCGAGCCCAAGCCTCACCATCCAAGGCTAAAACCTGAGGGTTTCAGCCCTGCATGTTGGGACTCAGGTTACAGGCCTTGGGATTCAGCTTTGCTCCCCCCCACCCCACCCCCGACAGCGGGGCTTGGGCTTGGGTGGGCTCAGGCTTCCATCCCCCCTCCTGGGGTCATGTGGTAATTTTTATTGTCAGAAGGGGGTCGCAGTGCAATGAAGTTTGAGAACTCCTGCTTTAGCTAGTTCCTTAAGTACCCTAGGATGAATTCCATCAGGCCCTGCTGACCTGAACGCATCTAATTTATCAAAATACTCTTTAACCTGTTCTTTCCCTATTCTGGCTTGTGTTCCTTTCCCCTTGTTGTTAGTATTGTGTTGAGTATCTGGTCACCATTAACCTTCTAATAAAGACTGAAGCAAAATGAACACTGAACACCTGTGTTACTGAGAGGGAAGCAGGAAGTGAGTCATCCTATATGAGCAACGAATCTGGTCCTGACACACACAGGAGGTCCTGTGCTGCTGCATATGCCGCAGGCGTGGTTGGTACCAACAAAGCTGTTTACAAAGTTGGTGCTGCAGACAAAGCCAGCAATCTCGACAGTATCTGATCAGGTTCCTGAGTTGATGACTCAAGAGAACCCGAGTGTGGTACTGGGGACCATCTTGCAAAGGCTGCCCTAACCTCGGTACTCGACTTCTCATGGTGGGCCAATGGGGACTGAGACCTTGAAGAAAAAGCAGGATTGCCTGCTCCTTGCAGGGCCCCAGAGAGAGAATATCTTCTATCAGACACCCTTCAATCTGGGGTGCCACTAAGTCTGTCAGTGCACTGAGAAAGGTGTGGAATCTGAGGCTTGGTCTACACTTACCCCCCAAGTGGAAGTAAGGTACGCAAATTCAGCTACGTGAATAACGTAGCTGAATTCGACATACCTTACTTCGAACTTACCGCGGTTCAGATGCAGCCCACACGCGGCAGGCAGGCTCCCCGTCGACTCCGCGGTACTCCTCTCGTTGAGCTGGAGTACCGCAGTCGACGGGGATCACTTCCTGGTTCGATTTATCGCGTCCAGACCAGACGCGATAAATCGAACTCGGAACTTCGATCCCCAGCCGCCGAACTAGCGCGGCAGTGTAGACCAGCCCTGAGTCTCCACACACCAAAAGGCTCAGTACTGAATGTGGGCACAAAGCTGCCTCCATAAGAATGTCTCTGACCCAACTTCTCTATCTTTCTCTGTCTTGGTCCAGAGATTGAATCCCTTTCAGATAGGGCATTTACACCTAATGTGACCATCACCCTCACCCTAGCACTTTACGCAGCTGGAGTGGGGATCGCTGACTGGCATCAACTTACTGCATCCAGAACAGCATTTGAAGCCCAGAGACTTCGGCATGTCCCAGTTCAAAGTAATATCAGAAAGGTTCACATCACTCTTCAGATTGATTTTTTTCCCCTTTACTTTTATGTTTTACCCATATCAGCTTTAACATGTCTTTGAGTAAAATTAAGAAATTAATATATATTCAGCATGACCATTATAAGGCATATGCTTAAAGAAAGAAATGGCTATTTTGATACATGAACATAGAAACAGATAAATGTAATAATCTGTGATACCATAAATAATTCCAGTTACCTGTTATTTGCTAAGTTTTCCAGGCAGCCTTCGATGAATCTCATTCGGATCTGCCTATCAGTAAACCAGCACACTAAGGAACAGAGCAGCTTCTCTGCTTCATTTATTAATCCCTCAGAGAGATGAATCTACAGAAAGTAAGAGAAAAGATATTGACAAGCACGTATTTATTTTCTTTTGGCAGATATTCTTTTCTGATATTTAACTTACTGCATCTTCATCCTGGACCAGATCCCACAAAAGAGTATTTCCCTTCTTACAAACATTATCCAAGTTAATATCCGTCACTGCGTTGCTGTTGTACTGGTGTTTATGGACTGCTGGCCCTAAGCAAAACACAGATGCTATTATTGAATATGCACAAAGAAATACCTAATTTGAATATTGTGCTTCAATGTATGGCTATTATTAGTTTCAAAAAATCTATTTAAAAACTCTATTTATTATTTTGTCAGATTTTCAAATCCAAAAAAAGTATAATTGAAAACTTTCTGCACACATGGAAACACTCAAAAGAAAACCAAGGCAACATAACCATGCAAGAATGATTAACCTAAAGCTCATAGTTTGTCCCTGCTAATGGAAGACATACTTGATACACTTCTTTAAATAAAAAAAAGTCACTCTGTAGATCTGAGGACTGGAGTCTTCATAAACAACCATCTTGGGGAGGACACAATGAATGTCAAAATTTTCCTCCCTTATATTGTACTGTGATTTTTAAGCGGTCTCTTCCATCCAACAGAGCAACAATAAAAACAGGCATTTAGTTTTCCACCAAAAAATTAATATTTCAGTAACAGATTTTTTAAAAACCACTCTTTTGCATCTGGAATCCGTAAGGAACAAATACTGATAGGTGCAGTTTTGCTTCTGAAATTGTGTGGGCACAACTGATACCATTTATTTGTCTAAGAAACTACTATGTAGGCAAAATCAAGTAGATGTTTAAAATATATCAGTTCTGTCTGCATACAATTGTATGTACTATATTGCAATTATTTGCGCTTGCAAAATTAGAGATACCAAAAGTTAAATTAGGATAAGGTCCTTTTCAAATTCATAATTTGGGTATTCATAAGAGAAAACAACTGGATAAGATCTCAAGCAGAATGCTAAAAAAGTGATCTATAGTCCACTAGTTTTTATTTTATCTTGCATAAAAATCATTTGACAATAGAAATGGAAGAAAACATATATAAAAATATATGTATATAGCATACGACATGTACAAAGAAATCCTTTGAAATAATACAGCATCTTCCACATTGTTAAGAGTTTTACACACTTTGTGCATGCTCACACATTACTGGGGGGAGTTGATTGGTGGTTTTGTTTGTTTGCTCATTTTCTTTGCTTCTTAAAATGATCTGTTTGTTGAAATTACTGGAGAGTTTATTTTTAAAAAGACAAAATTCAAGTTAGAAGTACAGAAAAAGGGTTGTTGTTTTTCTTACTATTACTATTACCTTGACTAAGGTGTTCATGGTAGATAGAAGCAAGGTTAGGAAGGTGCTGTTGAAGATGAGATGTTAGCTCAGCATGTGAATTAATCTGTACAAGTTCTTCTTCACAACCAGACTCTTCACCATCAAAATCAGCCATATTTTTTTCAGATTTTGCACTGACCTGGGAACTACTACAACTGACATCATCTGCACTTAGCATATCGTCAACCATGTGTCTGTAAAATACAGACAAGCATTAAAATGAATAATTTCAGAAACATGTTTTGTACAATAAAGCTAATTTTATAAATTCCAATTACCATATAATTTCAGATATAATTTATCACAACAGATGAAATAAAAAATATTTGTATTAGGGCTGTCAAGCGATTAAAAAAAATCACGATTAATTGCAGTTCAACAACAATAGAATATCATTTATTTTAAATATTTTTGCATGTTTACTACATTTTCAAATATATTAATTTCAATTACAACACAGAATACAAAGTGTACACTGCTCACTTTGTATTTATTTTTTATTACAAATATTTGCACTGTAAAAAACACAACAAAAAATTATTTTTCAATTCACCTCAAACAAGTACTGTAGTGCAATCTCTATCATGAAAGTTGAACTTACAAAGGTAAAATTACGTACAAAAAAAATGGCATTCAAAAATAAAACAATGTAAACCTTTAGCCCCTACAGGTTCACTTCTTGGTCAGCCAATCACTCAGACAAACAAGGTTGGTTACAATTTGCAGAAGATAATGCTGCCTGTTTCTTATTTAAAATGTCACCTGAAAGTGAGATCAGGCGTTCTCATGGCACTGTTGTAGCTGACATTGTAAGATATTTACGTGCCAGATGCGCAAAAAATTCATATGTTCCTTCATGCTTCAACCACCATTCATAGAATCATAAAATATCGGGGTTGGAAGGGACCTCAGGAGGTCATCTAGTCCAACCCCCTGCTCAAAGCAGGACCAATCCCCAACTAAATCATCCCAGCCACGGCTTTGTCAAGCCTGACCTTAAAAACCTCTAAGGAAGGAGATTCCACCACCTCCCTAGGTAACCCATTCCAGTGCTTCACCACCCTCCTAGTGAAATAGTGTTTCCTAATATCCAACCTAGACCTCCCCCACTGCAACTTGAGACCATTGCTCCTTGTTCTGTCATCTTCCACCATTGAGAACAGCCGAGTTCCATCCTCTTTGGAACCCCCTTTCAGGTAGATGAAAGCAGCTATCAAATCCCCCCTCATTCTTCTCTTCTGCAAAATAAACAATCCCAATTCCCTCAGCCTTTCCTCATAAGTCATGTGCTCCAGCCCCCTAATCATTTTTGTTGCCCTCCGCTGGACTCTTTCCAATTTTTCCACATCCTTCTTGTAGTGTGGGGCCCAAAACTGGACACAGTGCTCCTGATGAGGCCTCACCAATGCCGAATAGAGGGGAATTATCACGTCCCTCGATCTGCTGGCAATGCCCCTACTTATACAGCCCAAAATGCCATTAGCCTTCTTGGCAACAAGGGCACACTGTTGATTCATATCCAGCTTCTCGTCCACTGTAACCCCTAGGTCCTTTTCTGCAGAACTGCTGCCTAGCCATTCGGTCCCTAGTCTGTAGCAGTGCATGGGATTCTTCCGTCCTAAGTGCAGGACTCTGCACTTGTCCTTGTTGAACCTCATAAGATTTCTTTTGGCCCAATCCTCTAATTTGTCTAGGTCTCTCTGTATCCTATCCCTACCCTCCAGCATATCTAGCACTCCTCCCAGTTTAGTGTCATCTGCAAACTTGCTGAGGGTGCAGTCCAGGCCATCCTCCAGAGCATTAATGAGGACATGCTTCCAGGCTGATGATGGGTTCTGCTTGATAACAATCCAAAGCAGTGCAGACTTCGACTGACATGTTCATTTTCATCAACTGAGTCAGATGCCACCAGCAGAAGGTTGATTTTCTTTTTTGGTGGTTTGGGTTCTGTAGTTTCCGCATTAGACTGTTGCTCTTTTAAGACTTTTAAAAGCATGGTCCACACCTCATCCCTCTCAGATTTTGGAAGGCACTTCAGATTCTTAAATCTTGGGTTGAGTGCTGTCGCTATTTTTAGAAATCTCACATCGGTATCTTCTTTGTGTTTTGTCAATTCTGCTGTGAAAGTGTTTTTAAAAAGAACATGTACTGGGTCATCATCCGAGATTGCTATAACATGAAATATATGGCAGAATGCGGGTAAAAGAGAGCAGGAGACATACAATTCTCTCCCCAAGGAGTACAGTCACAAATTTAATTGACGCATTTTTTTTTTAATGAGCATCATCAACCTGGAAGCATGTCCTCTGGAATGGTGGCCGAAGCATGTTTAGCATATTTGGCATGTAAATACCTTGCAACGCCAGCTACAACAGTTCCATGCGAATGCCTGTTCTCACTTTCAGGTGACATTGTAAGTAAGAAGCAGGCAGCAGTATCTCCCGTCAATGTGAACAAACTTGTTTGTCTTAGCGACTGGCATAATAAGAAGTAGGACTGAGTGGACTTGTAGGCTCTAGAGTTTTACAGTGTTTTGTTTTTGAGTGCAGTTATGTAAACAAAAAAAATCTGCATTTGTAAGTTACACTTTCACGATAAAGAGATTGCACTTCAGTACTTGTATGAAGTGAATTGAAAAATACATTTCTTTTGTTTATCATTTTTACAGTACATATATTTGTAATAAAAAATAATAAAAAGTGAGCACTGTGCACTTTGTATTCTGTGTTGTAATTGAAATCAATATTGAAAATGTAGAAATACATCCAAAAATATTTAATACATTTCAATTGGTATTCTATTATTATAAGTGCAATTAATCGCAATTAAATTTTTTAATCACAATTAATTTTTTCGAGTTAATCGCATGAGTTAACTGCAATTAATTGACAGCCCTAATTTATACGTAATGAAGCAATTCAACACAGCACACGAGTCGGTTAAACTTATCTACATGAAGAGATACTTGTGTGTGTATACAGATAAACACAGATATGAACGACCTGGCAACATAGTTTATCACTATGGAAATTAGAAAGACAACTAAAAAGGAAATCTTCAGCTTCATTAATGAAAGATAAAGTCACCATGTTGTTGTTACTAGCTGAACAATGTAAATTTGCCAACAGAAGAATCTTAGTGTTTTCTTCTAGCACATCTCTTCATCCAGTATAAAAAATTTGCAAGCAACTTTAATTAGACAATAAAATAGATTGTTGTGCAACTACGTGTAGGGTATTAAAAAAGTAATTATCTGAATGATCCAGGAACATGGCACATCTATAAAAACATGTCTGAACTGTACATTTAGCTATCACTTTTATTGCTATTGTAAAGGAAATTAAAAGAAGCATAACCAACCTACCCATCATGATGGTGATGGTGGTGGTGGTGGTGGTGGTGGTGATGCTGTGGCCCAATAAACTGCCGACAGTTAAATAATTCATTTCCAATGGTTTCCCCAAGGAAGTCCCCTGTATGTGTTATACAAGAATCCTGAGACCCTTGTGATATGTGAGCAGGATTCATTTCCCCTGTCATATCATGTTCTGCATCTTCAGTGTGTGAACAGGCATCTAGCATTCTAATTCGACTATCCACTGGAGGCACAGACTCAGTGTTAAAAACATGGTCCTTCCCTGACCCATTGCTTCCACCACTCCTATCTGCTGCCCCTTGTGAATCTCCTAAACAAATGCCTGCTTGTGATTCTATCTTCCTGCTTAGTAGCTCTGTGCTCCTACTGTTTTTCTGAGGATTATGACCCCTATCTTCCTCCTCTTCCTCATCTTCTTCTTTGAGAGCTTCAATATCTGCAATATCTTCTGATTGCACCTCACTCCCTGGACTTCCTGCAGACTGGCTTGCATGACTGGAATTGGCCTCATTACTGGATCCATCACTGTGGCCACTGCTGCTACCAGGACCACTGCTGCCATCCTCACCACTGTTTGCTGTCTCATCAGAACTTCCTTGCATGGACTCCTATAATGTTACAAAAATTGATTACATCAAAAATAAATTGTAAAACTAATAAATATATATATAAATCAACATTAATAAAATATTTATTAGACAAATTCCAAAATTCTTTAATTGTAAGGATATATACTGAATCACTGTTTTTCATCCATTCCTCAGGAGTTCTTTCGCTGTGACACAGTGCTACAAGGTTTGTTTTGACCAAGATTTAGGTACACAAAACATTAAAAAAATCAAATTACCCTATTCATAATAGGTCACATACTTTACACACATATATAGTGTGGCACCAAAGTTCATTCCCAAGTTCATGCAGTCATTTGCTAAGTAAGAGATGATACAAATACAGAACATCTGTAGTTGTACCTCTGTATCTGAAAGTCGTTGTTGCACGTGTTTGTTTCTGTTGATTATCTGCTCCTCCATTTCAATATCACTGCCTCCACTCTGATGCGTGTCACTGTTGTCACTACTTTGAGGACTAGCTGCAGGTGACCCTATTTTAAAAGCATGTTCCCAGTTATAATGTTATTTTCACTAACCTATACGTTAACAGTATTATACATATCTACCTAGTCTCCTTGATCTCAACACCATATTCCTGACAACAACGGGGGATGTAACTCAAAATGTAAGCTGGACTCATTTAAATACAATATTTTTGAAAGGTAGTCACCACTTTGCTGCAAATCACGAATTCCAATGTTACTTTTATAATGTGACAAAGATATCAATTTGTCAGCTTCTATTACAAAAAGGAATTTTCTGCTGACTTCTCATTAAAATATACTTAAAAAACTGCACAAACTCATCTCTGCTATACAAAGCCTATTGCTCTACATGGCATTCATGCTATAAAAAGATTATAACTGAGGTTGCAGAGTATTTCTAGTACTCAACTTACAAGGTGATGGGGCTGCCCTTCTGAGCTCTTCTTCCTCTGAAGGGAAAGGAAAAAACAGGAGGGAAACATTCTAAGTGACTGAGCTTTTTTTGGGTCAGCATATCAGTTGCTTATAGTATATAATTAACAATGTCAAAGGAAGGAAACCTACAATAAAATAGGTCCATACCACCTTCCAAAGTGGCTGTCCGTGCGTGCCTACACAAAGAAGCCTAAGAAAAGAGGAGCAGTATATGTAATGTCAAGGAATGAAAATTAAGTGAAAAATCAGGTAAAGATTTAGAAAATAAAAGAATGCACTACAGCTGTAAACATTCAACAGAATAGGAGCAGTCAGCTGGTGCTCCATGGAAATCTTTGAGAAAAGAAAAGAAAAGAAAAGAAAAGAAAAGAAAAGAAAAGAATGTAGGATGTATAAGCAGAATTGTTTGTGAATGGAAAGGTTTTCAAAGATGTTCATGAAACTTCAATGTCTCTTTACAGGATATGGGTGGGGACAGGAGTAATCTCTTTGTAATCTTCTTTTTTATCCTTGACTTGAAAAGTGTGCCTCAATGATACAGCAAGCCACATTTTACAATTTTACTTTCATATGGTGTCTACTCTACATGAGCTTATGGCTCAAAGTTACCAGTTAGCACTGATTGATTAAAAATCAAAGACTAAACTGTAATATCTACTTTGGAACAATACATAAACATTACACTGCAAAATATATACTCACCTTTCTTATTTCCCATGGGTAGATTAGTACTGAGTAAAGATGCAAATGAACTCTGTTTTGATAACTGGGCCTTAGCTGCTAGTGCATTATTCCACAGTGCTTTTATAAGCATTGATGCCAAATATAAGGTCTATAAACAAAACCAGATTATAGTACAATGAAAAAGCAATTGGTTTTCAATGCAAAAGATACACTTGTTGCTTCTTCTGCACTCCAATACAATGGAACATGAAAGTAAGTAACTCATGAAAACAAGTGAATGCTTTGTTATACAAAATGGAGAAATGTCCAATATTAAACTTAAGGAATTTTATCAACTTCTAAATATATATCAAAATTTAAAAGCCAGAAAGGCTAATTTAAGATGCAGCACAAAAATCCTATTCAGTACATTATTGCGTATTCCCATATTATAAGAATTATGAAGAGAAACAGACTTTACATGTCCAATGAGCCAATATCATGTATATTTTCTTTTTCTTGTCACAAATGACATTGAAGAAGTTAAAACATGTACTATTGTACTTCAGGGGGTTTTTTGTTTTTACCTGTTCAGTATGAGCACTTGGATGAAGAGTTGAGACTAGATTAAGAAGATGTCTAAGCGGGACAGGGTCCAAGTTCTTGATTAATGAAGGAAACAGATCATGTATATAGCGACTACAATGTTTCAGCTACAAAATACAAACAAAAAGACATAAGAGAGAGGAAAATAATGTTTTTATAAGAGTTATTCAAACATTCATAAAATTGTCTTCATTAAAAAGCTTCTTCACATAAAAATTCTCAGGCAGCTTTATCATTCAAAAACAATTCTGAGTAGTATCAAACCTTCAGTTTTTATTTAACCTAGCTTCTCATTTCCAAGCACGTGAATTTTGGTAACATGACATACAAAATCACTGAACTCCTGCTTAGTTTTAAGGTTATAAGAGTTTTGGGGAGATTAAAGAAAATTGTTTAGAACTTATTCTGCATTTTTGATGTAACTATAAATTAAATCAATTAAGTTTTGTATATAAATTCCTAAGGGACAAAAGAGTATTTACATTTGATATTAACAGTGGTGAATGCAAATGAAGGCACTATAAATTAAGACAAACTATAAAACAGAATTTATCAAAACTGTTTTTAATTACTACAGAAATAGTAGTGACTGACTTTTTCAATGGAACCTCCTATTGCACCAGAAAGTGTCAGTGCTCAAGGCAAAACAATGGAAAGTTGACTTCAAAGTGTTGCATGAATATGCTCCCAACTTTCACTTTTGCTTTGAAGGATTAATATATTTTTGTATGGATCAAATACTCAATAAATGAAATACACAATAGTATAAATAGGCTCTGGATTTAGGTTAGCAAGTATGTACTTCAAAAATATATAATTTAAAAAAAAAAACTGACTTCCATTTTACCATCAGCCTAAAAGAGAAAAATGAGTGGGGGGCAGTCACTGGTCTGCATAGGAGTCAAGTGGGAATAAAATGGTGCAAATTATCTACACAAGGGTGAATTTCATCTAAGGAGAGTAAAAGTCAAGATGTACAATTTAAGAAAAAGAGATTTATGTCACAATTTAGAGGCTGAAGAAGGAGGGACAAGAGATGCTTTAGCTCTCAACTTCTCTAATGCCATTTTTATAAAATTATTGCTTTTCTAAAAAAAAAATCATTACAGCCGTCAAATAAATAAAGGTATCAAAATAAGAGTAGGATCCAGTTTTCCCTTAAGAGACATAATTTCACTATTTTCAGATACATTGAATAAGATTGACATTTTTCTCATCAGCACCTAACTGAAATTAATTTGCGTCTTTTATTGTATGAGATTTCTAACATGTACATTACTGGAATTGAAAGAATAGTTAAAAAACCATCTGTCCTTGACAAAAGCTAGTATCAAATCGATATGCACTCCTTTTCAACTTTGTGCCCCAATCCCGCAATCACTTAATCATATACATAACTTTATTCACATGAATAGTCACACTGACGCCAATGGAACTACTCATATGTATAAAATTATGCATGTTCTTATGTGATTGCAAGATCAGAACCTTAGTTAATAATGAAACAGATCTTTAACAGGTGATCCGTTCATGGGGTTGCAGTACCTCTCATTTAAATTTGGCCTACCAGGACTTTCATTATCATGACGGCTGGGCCAAATCTGAGTGGTGCTGGAACCCCAAGAGGTTTTATCACCCAGTGGCTGGAGCAGGGAGGCGAGCCCAGACATCCCTGTGGGACAGGAGCTGCCACGCAATCCTTTGAAACATTCTGGTGACCGAATTTTGGGTCCCGACCCACAGGTGGAGAAACCCTGTTCTAAACTCTTTTCAGAGCAGCAGTTTAGACCTGCTAGGTTCTTATAGCAAAAATTGAAACTTTTTGAACAAGAAGCAGAAAGAATTAAGTCTCATATCTGGAATATACTATTGTTAAGGGAAGTTTCTTTTATATTTAGTGAGCACTGATAACAAACACCAAATTTAAACTTGAAAAAAGTTTCTAGTTCCAATCCCTATTTCAGCAGTTCAGAGGGCTTTTTTCATCTTTATTTCCCTACTTAACAGAATACACACAATGCAATTCTATGAAAAATACATTAATGCAACGTTATGCATGGGAAATTAAACACACAAAAGGCAAGAAATGCAGACTTAAGAGCTAATTAACAGCTGCAGCTTAAACTTCTGCCAATGGATGAGACCTACTGATACTGATGTAGTTACTGTATGTGAAAGCAACAATGAAAGTAGGCTATAACTTAAAAATTATATCAAAAATAAAATGCTAAGTTTTAAATAGATCTTTCAGCTCTCTTCTAATCTAGGCAGTGAAGCTGCAGCATTGATAATGTTACTCTTGAAAGTGGAGAAGTTATTTGGCTTAGTACATTAATTAAATACGAATGATGCTTTCAGCCTAGATCTCCTTTCTGCAGTCCCAGGATTCGGTCATTCCCTCTCCGTCTTAGTCTTCCTTCAATCTCTACTTTTTGAACAAGCAGCACAATTCCCAGAGTTCTGTAGCACAATTCCCAGAGTTCTAAAGCCAATGTGTTTCTGCTACTATCCATGGGTACTATCCTTTCGCACTGATTTAACTATTATATGGGGAAGCAGTAATAAAGATAAAACATCATTTCTTGTCCCTTTTAAGCTCTTTGGAATAGTGCTGCTCTGCTAAGAGATTTTTTTAAAGTTAAAAATGGCAGTTTATCTTCCTTGCTACCTCCATGGAGCTGCATGAATATAAAAGAGCCTTGACAAGTACAACAGCAACAACACTCATGTCTAAACCCAGGATTCCAATAGTACTATGGAACTGGAGTGCTTGCCCAAAAGTCCGTGTAGCGAGAAAAGGAAAACAGGTGTATAAGGAAGGAAAATGGGAGAAAGAAATCAGGAGATAACCACAGAGAGATGGTATGGACTCTCTACATTTGATTAACACAGTCTGCCAAAGAGCCACACCCATTAGTAGCTATGAAGAAAAAAAAAACTGATATTTCAAACTGCAGAAATGTGTTATTAATTAAACAAATGTAGGCCTTAATTTTCATTAACACTATTTTAATAAATGGCATTTTAAAATACATTTTGAGGAGTGACCTTGGGAAATGTTTCATAAAGAAAGCACTAGCAACCTTCTTCAGACAATCTAATTGCAGCTTTCATTCAAAACCAACTTACAGTAACTAATACCACAAGAAGCCATCGGTGTCCATTTCTATGGAAACTAATAAAGCATAAAAATATACACATATAGGTTTTAATATATCTATTCTGGTGTCAGAATAAAACAAATGAAAAATATTCTTGAAAACAGAAAAAATTTATTATAGTCCAAAATTATAATAAATTTAAAAGCACTCCCAAGTCATACTTTTTTTGCTTGTAATCAAATATATCTCAATCTTTATTCATTTCTCTGCACTTCACTGAGGTTTTTTTCCTTGCACATTGTGTGTGTGTGTTCGTATCAGAATACACAAATGTCTGCATCACTCAAATCTCAAACAAAAAAAAATGATTGAAAACAATTACTGAATTACTGAAAACATCATAATAATTCAAACAAGACAGCAAATATGGTCTATCTTTCTGAACAAAAACCTTGACAAATAGTTTGTTCTCAATATAGCCAAGAGAAAATTCAATACCACATCTCACAGTTTTCTACAACTTCAAATTTTAGGGTTGCTTTACAGTAATAAATATCACAGCCACAGTTTTCCAGAGTAGCGCTATCAGTGGTAAATTATTGTGCACAACGGACTCAGACAGTTTCACTAGACAACACAGTAGTAAAAATGCATGAGCCGCACCCTATAGCTTCCATCATTGCTATCACTGGTGGAGCTGTGCCTGTAGCAAATCAGAGGTGCAAAATTTGCTAGTGTAGATGCAGTATTGGAAAATCTGCATATCTTACTCAAGTTGTGGAGATGACTGTATGGCATATCCTGCACTAGTATGGTAAATGACAAACAGGAAAGAGTAAGAAACATTGCTTTGTGAATCTAAGACCAAATGGAATTCAACTGGCTATTTTATTTCCTTCTCACAAATATAAATATTTTGTATACCTGCGCTGCTGCCCAAATGCAGTCTATGTGCTGAGTACTAAGTCGCCCTTCAGCTGCAAGAAAATTGAGAATCACTTGGCACTGTTTGATGATCTGCAAAGAGAGAACATATTTAGAATAGATTTAACAGAACAAAGAATTACTCCTCCATAAATACAGCAAAAATCAGATTATTTTACACAAACCTCAATATGTAAATTTGGTCCAAAAATATGCTCAACCACATTGTTGCTGATAAGCCAGTCTGCAAGCTCTTTTGCAATGGACCTACATATGAAAAAAGAGTATTGATATGTATATAAATTCTTTATTTGTCTATATTGCATATTAAATCATTTCCCTAATACAGTGTTCTTTTACTCAATTTTATTTGTATATTCACTATTATAAGAAAACTATTTTTGAATCTGAAATGTGTTCAGCTGGTATTGACAAGTATTTTCAAAAGTAGGAGTTATATAAATTACTTTTCTAGGGGAGCAATTTTTAAACTTTCCCTTCTCATCAAAACTTGCTGAAATAGCAATTCACACAGTTTTTAAAGTCTGTGTTATTTACATGACGATGCACCTAGTTAATTACACATGCACAGTATTTAGACACTTTCAAAATCACATTTTAGTTTCATCCATAACAGAATGGATCTCTGCCAACAGCCAATCAAAAAAATAAACTGTCAAATAGAACGAGATAAGGGGATTGAATTTTCCTAACTAAAAACTGAGTTCCCGCCAGTCTGGAAACTAACACATATATCCTTGTTCCTCCCACACAAGCAGATGGACCAATTTGTTTGCCAAGATTTTGGCATCAGGATCAATGTGTGACAATTTTGGTGTTCAGAGCACAGACTGTAGATGATGTGCTGTTGGGGTAAAATCCTGTTCCCTGCACACAACCCAGGTAAAAGGGTTGTGCACAGGGGTGGGCTACAGGAATCTGGGTGAAAGGCACTCATGGCCACTACTATAGCCTCAACATCTCCAGTCCTGATGATCACCCAGAGTAAGGAAACAAGAGTCCACAGGCTCAAAAAGGAGGGAGGCAGAGTCTGCACAGCATGGAGCTGAGCCTGCAAGTAAAGCTTAATTTCCTAGCGCTGGTTGTCAATTCCCTAACTATTCTGAAAAACCCAGTCACTAATGATAAGCCTCAACAGACCTTCACCACCAAAACCTATTTGTAATGAGTGCTCAATGCCTGCCCTTCTCTTTCCTTTCATGTAGTAATTCCAGGACCTAGGGAAAAAAACATGCACCAGCCTTATACCCTTTGGAGAACACAATGTCCCATTACCTAGAGTAATATATGAGAAGTAACTGATTACAAGATGTCATAATCTACTGACTACCCCCTCAGCTATCAGCTAAAGAGTGACCAGGTGTCTGGTTTTCAACCAGAACACCTGGTCAAAAAGGGATCCTGGAGGCTCCGGTAAGCACTGGTGACCAGGACATTGCCTGTCCGGTTGGCGGCATGGCGGGACTGGCAGACTCCCTGCTAGCCTCCGCGCAGCTCCCGGGAAGCAGTGGGCACTGTCCCCCCCCTCCAGCTCCTACGCGCAGTGGCAGCCAGGGGGCTCCCCACACTGCCCCAGCCCCAAGCACCACCCCTGCAGCTCCCACTGGCCAGGAACCGTGGCCAATATGGCGCTTGCGGACAGGACAGAGCAGAGCCTCCTGGCTGCGCCTCTGTATAGGAGCCGGGGGGGGGGGGACATGCAGCTGCCTCTGGAAGCTGCTTGAAGTAAGCACCGCCCAGAGCCTACACCCCTGACCCCCTTCTGGTCCCCAATGCCCTGCCTCAGCCCCGATCCCCCTCCCGCCCTCCGAACCCCTTGATCCCAGCCAGGAGCACCCTCCTGCACCCCAAACCCCTCATCCCCAGCCCCACCCCAAACCACACACCCCCAGCCAGAGCTCTCACAACCCCCCACACCCCAACACCCTACCCCAGCCCAGAGCCCCCTCCTGCCCTCCAAACCACTCAGCCCCAGCCCGGAACACCCCGATCCCCTCATCCCCAGCCCCACCCCAAAGCCAGAGCCCTCACACACCCCCGTACCTCAACCCACTGCCCCATCCCAGAACCCCCTCCCACACTCCAAAACCCTCAGCCCCAGTCCAGAGCCCCCTCCTCCACCCCAAGCACCTCATCCCTGACCCCACTCCAGAGCCCTCAACCCCTCTCACATCCCAACCCACTGCTTCAGCCTGGAGCCCCCTCCTGCACTCTGAACTCCTCATTTCTGGCCCTACCATGGAGCCCACACCCCCTGCCGGAGCCCTCACCCCATCCCACACCCCAGCCCCCTGACCCAGCCTGGTGAAAATGAGCAACTGCATGACGGTGGGGAGAGCAAGTGACAGAGGGAGGGGGGATGGAATGAGCAGGGGGCAGGGCCTCAAAGGAGGGGTGGGGCGGGGGGAGGGTAATGGCGTTCAGTTTTGTGCGAGAAGAAAGTTGGCAACCCTAATCAGATAGTACTCTTTCCATAAAACAAGGCCCTCAGGCACTGTGGAGGATCAATGTGACAAGATATCTGAAACTGCTAGGAGAGGGATGAGAAACTAAACAGTTTTAAATATCAAGATTGGCTGGGGCAGTTTCATGCAACCAAGATCAGTTCTGCTTCCTCCAGATTTGCTTTTCAAAAAAAACTTGGAGTCCAGGGAGGACAGTAAGGCACAAATGACAGTCCCCATCCACCGAAGGAAAAAACATCCACTGTTCAAGCTCCGTTCTCACTGAATCTGAGGCAAAACCTCTTCAGATGAGCATTATACAGTCACAGATTTTAAGGCCAGAAGAGGTCATTACAATCATCTATGTTGTAAATACATGTACCCAAGTAACACCGCAGTCTGATCAATTTCAAACAACAGCAGTACTTTCAAAGCCTCCTGACCACACTCCTATCCACATACCCGCAGGTGCTCATGTAAATGACCATAGTTTCATTGTTCACACAGCTCAGGATTTGACCAAAGCCATCAACTCTATTATCAATGAAATAACTTCCATTGGCTGTATGATTTTACTCCTTGAGAAACAGGTGGTGGGACTTGATGTGAGCTGCAAGAGATCTCTGTTCTAGATCATGAAGAGTGCTCATACGTATTAATTGTTGTGAAGCTATCAAGTAATTAATTTTCCTCTCAGCCCAGCCTCTGTAGCAAGATGTCATCTCAAAGGAGCACCTACTAGCCAGTCTTCAAAGTAGGGGCAAATATAGATATGTCACTGGGACACTAAATAAATAAAGTAACTTTCAGTAAATTCTGGGAACTGATAAAAGCCTAAAGAGTACATGAGTACTAATAAAGAGCTGTACCAAGAAATCTTTGATGGAATTCAACATTAAGGTATGTCTTAAATAAATAGTCACAAAAGAAGTCATCAGGTCCCATTAATGCTAAATTGCTGATCAGAATCTCAATTTTTAAACATTTATCCTCCTTAGAACAGGTTGGATAAAAATTTATCTTTTTTTTCCAAATAAAAAAAATGGGTTATTTTATTTAAATAGCATTTTTTAAATTAAATACATGGGTTTTTTTTAAAATAAGCTTATTTAAAATTAAATTTGAAATTATAACAACCTATGTTAAGGCATAAACGTACTATAATTTATTTATAAATTTATTACATTAAATACAAATAATATTAAGCAGTGTATGTTTGCTGCTGAAATTTTAATGAAAGTCGAACACTGAACCACTGGCCACTTAGTCACTCATTCTGGTCCAGTACGAGGAACCAGAGTTTGCTGTGGCGCTAAACCAGCTTTTCACAGCAATAGCCTCTTCTGAAGGTTCAGAAAAAATATTTTCTTCATTTCAGTTTATTCAACTAGTTCAGTTCAATGCCTAATTCATTCAAAGTTAAGAAACTAACTGGGAGTTGAAAAAGCATGAAAGCTTGTTTTCCTCCTCCAATATATGAATAAAAGCTTAATGTGAGAGGATGAGATCTATTAGTTTAAAAACTTGAAGGACAACGATGACCAGAAACAATCAGTTCAAGTACAGATAACACTTTGTTTAATATATCATCAGCTAGTTTTAAATGCAAAATATGCTTTGGCAATTTTTTTCTTATGTATTCAGAACATTTAAGGTAGTTTTATTTAACTAACAACATTTAAAATACTTATTCTGTGCATTTTTAATTTAATTTTCCATCCAAATAAAGCTTGAAATAAATCACAAGTGAAAAATTAATCTAATAAGTAAGAAATACATCATTCACCTTTTTCTAACATAAAAAATGTAAATATTAACAATCTGAATAAATGTATGTTAAGCTATATAACTGCTTAAATAAATGAGTATCCACATAATGAATCCCAGTTAGCAAAAAGAGGCATCATATTTCGTTTAAAGGCTATATTTCATTGCAAATTAACATATTTTAATGATTACCAACCAATGAGAATCAACTTCTCTTTAGGAAAATAACTAAAAAGTACAAATGCAAAACAAGGTTAAAATTGATTATTTAAATCAAGGTTTCCTGCTTGGTGTTTTAAATAATGATTACAATCAGTAATTTAAATTGCTTTAATTTAAATCAATCCACCATACTTTAGAATCAGTACTAGACAAACATTGCTGGACTTACTAGATGCAGTTAAGACAAAAGAACAGACTGCTTGAACTTTTTCTGATTAAGACACTAGCCCTATTGACTGAATGTCTATGAGGTGCTAGACCAGAGGTGGGCAAACTACGGCCCGCAGGACTGTCCTGCTCGGCCCTTGAGCTCCTGGCCAGGGCGGCTCTCCCCTAACCCCTCCCCTGCTGTCCCCCCACCCCAGTAGCCATGCTGCCGCACGGGCAGTGCTCTGGGCGGCGGAGTTGCGTGCTCCTGCCGAGCAGAGCAGCAGCGTGTCTGGCTCCGGCCGGGCGGCTGCCAGACATGCTGTTCTGAGCAGCATGGTAAGGGGGCCGGAGGGTTGGAAAGGGGCGGGGCATCCCTGGGGGCAGTCAGGGAACAGGGAGCAGGGGGCAGTTGGATGGGGCAGAGGTTCTGGGATCCTGTCAGGGGGCAGGGATGTGGATAGGGGTCGGGGATGGGGGGGTTGGATAGGCGTGGGATCCCAGGGGGCCTGTCAAGGGGTGGGGGTGTGGATAGGGGTCAGAGCAGTCAAAGGACTGAGAGCAGGGGGACTGGGTAGGGGTGGGGTTCCAGGGGCGGTTAGGGGCAGGGGGTCCTGGGAGGGGGTTCAGGGCTCCTATGACTGGTATGGTAGGGGGCCAATCCCC